TATATGTATATATATACACACACACACATATTTGTGTGTGTGTGTGTCTGTGTGCGTGAACTCAGACATTTGATACACAAACTCTGTAACAGAGCCCCCCCCTTAAATACATACATACAAGTTTTTATCTTTAAATAGAATACATGCACAATCTCTCACACACGCATGCTTGCCTTTATATATTAATATATGTGTATTTCTCACTGTGTTTTTACCTGGTGAATGCACATATGGGGATATACATACATACTATACCTCATATGTAAATATTTTTGTGTGTAAATATATATATTTATCAGATATATACATATATAATAGATTATAGCTATACAGGAACCCCCCCTTTATATATTTATGTATATGCACATACATAGAGACAGACATATCTTTATATACATCATGTGTATAGTGGGGATTAATATAGAGGGCTATACACATATAATACTGTATACCTATGTATGTATGTGTACACATTCTATACAATATATACGTGTCTATACCCAGTCTCTCTGTCACATTTTTTTATACACACATAAAATTTATATATAGAATTATCCACATAGATACAGGGAAAGTGGGTGTCTGGTGTCCCACCGATAATACAGTCTATGTACATATGTGTACACAGCTATTTGATACATATGCTCCATAATAGTCCCCCTTTAAATACCTGCACTTATTGATCTTGACATAGAATACACATGCTCCCTCTCTCAGACACATAGACTTGCCTTTATATATAAACACATATCTATTTCTTACTGTGTGTGACTTTTATATACATAGAATACATACATTGGGATATACATATATAATACATAGTAACTATCCTTGAAAACACACACACATATACCTGTTTATATAAGTCCATGAGTATTTCAGATATATATAGAGGGACATACATCTATAAATAATACCATATACCTCTGTCTGTGTATGTGTGTATATATATATGCACACACACCCAGACATCTATAATACAGAGAGAGTGTCTCTCACACATGTATTTTATATACACATCTTTATATATAGATTTATCCATATAGATATAGGGAATATGTGTGTGTGCATGTATACATATTATATATATACACACACATATATATAATATAAATACAATCCTTTCATATAAAAATATATCTCTCAGAGTGTGTACATGGGGAATGTATATATAAGGATATACATATTATACCTATATGTGAACACACACATACATATACAATTATATGTATATACACACAGTCACTCACACCTCCCCCTCCTTTACTTCTATCTTTTTAAACATACCTACACCTAATTCATACATCTTCATATATCTATATATATATACACATATCCATCCGCATATATAATGGGGATAGATGTAGAAAGATATACACAAAAATAATACTGTATACCTATCTGTGTACACACACTTTTTAAAATAATTTATGTGTCTATAGCTACTCTCTCTCTCTCTCTCCCCCACATACAGATTTTATATGCACATAGACATATCTTTCTATATACCTTTATCCATATTTATAGAGACAATGGGTCTCTGTGTGTGGCTATAAGTATCCCCATTTATAATATACCTATATATGTACACACATTTAATATAGATTATACATAATACATGTGTATGTACACACTCAAGTATTTTCTAATATATATGAACTATACATGTATATGCAAAGGCTGTCACATACCCACCCACATACTATCTCTTTACATATATTTATACATCTATAAAATATTTGTGTAGCTACACACACATCTTTAACTGTATATATATATATGTGTGTGCACCCACATATAAAGAGCTTTATATACACATATACATGGGGGATGTATAGGGATATACCTATATATACAATATCATGTATATACACAAGCACATTTTATGCATAAAATATATAATGCACAATACAGATCAAAAAGATGTGTGTATATATACAGTCTCACGCCCCTTTTCCACTATCCAGAATCACCCATGTTTAACTCTCCTCCCAGCAGCTGTTCAGAGGCTGCTTTGGGTTTGTGCTGAGCAGGGGGCTGGTGACACACTGATGGTTACTGTTGCCGCCGCCCTTCCAGCATCCGCAGCTGCAGGGGCAGGAGGAGCGAGGAGGGAGCACAGCCCCAGTGACCAGCCCAGGATCTGACCTCAGGTTTAGGACTGACCCCCAAACTGGCCAATGGTCTGTTCCATCCCATGCCCGGCCTGGCCAGTGTATAGGTGAGGCTCAGTCCAGAAGTTCTCTCTCTTGCTCCAGGTTGTCTGCCTCTGGGTCACCCCTCTCTCAGGGTCGTCTCTGTCTCTTGGACACTCAGACTCTTATCTCCATTTGAGGATTGCAGTTTTGGGACTTTCCCTGCTCCAGGATCGTTAGCCGGGAACAGGCTGAGCCTTGGTTGTCGGGTGGTGAGTGGTATTACTGTGTAGCACTTGTTTGTGTATGTATTACTATTATTATCATCATTATTATTATTTCCAATATTATTGTAGTTTAGTTACTAACTTGTTCTTATCTCACCCCATGAGCTCCTTTTCCCTTCACCCTTTTAAATCTCTCCCCACCCCCGGGAGATGGGAGGGAGAGTGAGCGGATGCATGGTGTTTGGTGCCAGCCAGGGTCAAAACTACAACAAATATATACACAGGTATTCAGAGACCCTCTCTCATCTCTCACACACCCCCTCCCCTTCACGTATATCTTTATATATATTTATGTATTTACCATATGTATTTAGATAAAATACCTATGTATATACACAGACAGCCTCTCACACATCTTTATATGAAGACATATACATATATCTTTTTATATGTATGTACAGACATTTGTATGTAAATCCTCTCGTATGTAGGGATGGAGGAATGTTTGGAGGAGGAATGTTTGGAGATACATATATGATATATACATATATGTACAAACATATACATTTTTACGTCTTTTCATATGTAAGCATGTGGGGGGGTTGTGTGTATATATGTAGGATATACATATATAATCCACCATACATATGTATGCATACACATATATACATTACATATACACACACCCCGACACATCCTTATATAGATACACACCTTTTTATATATGTCTATATTCCACTGTGTGTAAACATACTATATATAGGGATGTATATATAGGATATAAGCATATAATACATCATACTTACGTGTGTACACACATATATACATATTTTCTCTATACTATATGTAGTATACCATATGTGTATATGGAGACACACACTTTTCTTATCCCCATGTCTATATGGGGATATCCATATATAACACATCTATAGTACACCTCCACCTGCCCAGCCCTGCTTACCATGACACCTCGGAGCTCGTCTGCCCAGCCTCCTCCCGCAAGGGCAGCCCGTGCCCGCAGCCTGTGCCCAGCCGCCCGGAGCCCCTCAGGGCCCCTCGCCCCCAGTCTTGGGCTGACCTGCAGCGTAGGGCCTGCCTTGCCCCCACCGCGTGCAGAGAGCCCCCTGCGCTGGCGGGATGCCTGCCAGGGAATGCCTGTTTGAAGCCTGACCTCCGGGCACAGACCGTGTGTGCTGCCGAGGTTTCTTACTGTTCAGTTTAACCCTTCTGAAAGGTTCCCAGCATGGCGCTGGGCTCAGCTAATGCCCCACTTCTTTTCTCTTAATTGATTTTGTCCACGTTGTTCCTTCTCGGGTCCATCTGAACCACTCTGCAGACTAGACAGCCTAGCTGGGGGAATTAACCTCTCCCAGATCTCCCGACTATTAGGGGTGCCTTCACCAGGAGCAAACTGGGGGCCCTTCAGCCTTTAGAGAATTACTGGGTTTGGTACAAACTTCCATGGAGCAAACCATGAGATGCCATGGTGGGTTTCATTTCCAGGACAGATCTCAGTCACTGTTCAGTCTCCCCCAGTTTACAGCACAGTGACATGCAAAAATGCAGTTCACATTCACATTTTCAAGCAAAGCTTACCACTGCTAGGCTCATTGTAGTATCGACTGATGTAATTATTCATGTCGTCCTCTGAAAAAAACAAAAAGGCAGCCATTAGAAGAGCATTTATTTGATTAAACAGTTGAAATTCTACCCTGTGAAAGGCTCTCCACTGCCCTGCATGCCCAGAGCACCACCATTTGTGTATTCCACCCTAAGACCTGGTGTGATTTGGAGACACCCTGCAACACAGCCATTGCCCCTGAGCTGCTTCCCTGTCTCTGCACTCTCTTTC